AGGGGAAGAAGATGTGATGGAAGATCTTATAGAGCAATTTAAAAATCTTAGTTTAGTAGAATACGTTGGACCGAATTTAACCAAAAGGAAAATGCTACAACAGGTAAGAATAGAATTAAATAATAAATTTCAGGTTTTAAGGACATTCAAACAAGTCGAGACTTGTTCCAAGCAGTTTTTTAAGAAGCGTAAAGGAAATGGAAATCATGGAAAAAGATACGCCAAACGCACATGCAACAAAATGGACTGCGACGATTGTCTTTTATTATATTTATTATATAATGCTGCCCAAAATAAAGAATACGAGAAAATAGATGAACTAGTATCAAAGATTTATAAAAAAGTTTGTTTTTATTTAGGGGAAGAAGATGTGATGGAAGATCTTATAGAGCAATTTAAAAATCTTAGTTTAGTAGAATAGTTATAGTAACTTTTTTTACGTTTTTAATAGTCTATAAATTTTAAGATATTTATTTTTTATATTTATTTTAAAGATTTATTTTTACAAAAAAAAATTGAATAAAGAGAAATAAAAACAGTTTGTTGTTTTATTAATTTATTTATTATGTATAAATGATACCCAAGCAATACAAGAAAGTATTAATAAGTAAATATAATAATAATAATAATATGGCAAAAAGGTATATTTATAATTATAACATTACTAATGAAAATGTTTTTATTGCACCTACCTTTACATAAACAAGGACAATAAAACTTAACATAATCCTAACTTAAATATTAGGAACATTTTAATTACAAAATAAAAAGTTAGACAAAATAACGAATAAAAAATCTCAAAAATAAAATATTTCACAAATTTTTAAGTACATACATAAATAAGAAGAAATGCAAATAATTGTCAACATAGAGAGGTAGTTATCAGTTTAAAATATTAATTATACATTTTACACCCATTTTTTTATAATAATAGTGTATACATATACGATTTTTTGCCTGCTAGCAAAACTATATTTCGGTGTTAAACGGTCACTACGCTATATAAAAGTTACAAGTTTAATTTTAAAATGTATTTTCTCCTTTTCTCAAAAGGGATTGTTAGGAACTCTGATTAGCTTTGGCCCCTTAGGACCAGCCGTATTTTTTTTCAAAGGCACCCAGTCCCTCAACAATAAATACATTGAGACTCTACACTGCCATCAAAAAATTATTTACATAAAAGTCATTGCAAGAATTCCCGAAAAATATTGTTGAGGAACCGTACTGAGTTAGGAACCATTTTCCGGTTATTTGCATTTCTTAATGACTGCTGTAGAGTCCTATATATAAAAATCGACATTTTAAAGTTGCCTTTTTCAATGATGAAAACAGATATTTGCATCCGCGCATCTGCAAAAATTATTATTATAATCAATGCTGAGCTTTGCGGAAGTCTGCATCCGCAACATCTCTGACTAAAGCAACTTTAAAACGTGTTCTATTTATGGCACTGCACACTTATATAAGCTCGCCACAATTTTTAGGGATTCCGCGAAATCTAAAAAACAACTGTACACTCCAAGCAATTTTTTTTGATATTTTGTTTTTATTTAGTACAAAAAATACCAGTATTGTAGAGATCTGCGTTATCTATCTATGAGGTTCATAAGTCTTACAATAAATTTTCCTTTTTTGAGGAAAACTAGAGGTAGGTAAATGGAAAGAAACAATATCAAAACAGTACATCACATGGGCAGTATTTTTTTTAGTTAAAAACAGCACATTAGCACTGATTAACTGTGTAATATCCTGTGTACCTTACAATATAATTATTTGCATTCGAGTGTCACTAAAAATAATATGTACATACTAATAAAAAGTATAACTTTTCAACAAGAATGGGGGACTATATACAATATAAATTACCTCAAACACAATATTGTTAATAACACTGTGCAACAAAAAAGCTGGATTAGGGCCAGAAAAAATGGTACAGTATTAAAAGAACACGTAGTAATTTTTTCGTAATAGGTACTGTACCAATTTTTTTGTCCCACCCCATCTATTTTTATTTCATCAAATTTTGTCGCACAGTAAAAATCAAAAATCCACACGGATGGTGCTTTTTTCTCTCTAAAATGGCGTTTATTTTTGCATATAACAAATATCTACGCTATATCTTATCCAATAATTAACAATGACCTCTTCTATTCAAGGGCTATCGCTATTTTTCCTAAACTAAGTCATTTCTTTTTAAATTGGGAAGCGATTTACTCTCTAAACACGTATTTTTTCATTCCTATAGCGAAAAACCCGAAGAAGTTTGAGGTATAAAAATAAAGTAGCCAAAATCAATTTATCTATTAATTAAGTACTATTGCCGAAAACTATAGTCTATTCCGAAAAACATACTAAAATTTAAGTTATATATTACAATTAAGTACGTTTTTATCTCGGATAAATGGGGGGAAGTCATTCAAAATGTATAAAGTCTAAAAAAGAAGCACTATTTTACTAAAACCTAATGACTGATGATAAACGTGAAAAAAAAAATGAACTAAAATGACTTGATGATTACCTGAATGCTTTCTATAATACCTGAATTATATTATCACTGAATATAAAAAATAACGTGTATAAAAAACTGGCAAGACTGTCTGTGTATAAGTAAATATATAGTTATTGAGTATCAGATGAGATTCCTAAGGTGATATACGGAAATTTGTACTTCGGCATTTCATGATATTAGTTTATTAGTATTGACAGAGTGGCGCATTTATATATAAAAATTCCCGTGTCGTTTTTAATAATTCCCCTGGAAGGTTTTAACAATTGGCAGGGGAATTATTAAAAAGTGCCAAGGTAAATATTTTTCCCCATATTTTAATTTAAGTTTGCCACCCTGTACCTACTGTTTAACCTGAGTAATCATATGAAGAATTGTGAACCTTGTCGGTTCGTGATTGTTTATAATATAATTGCTTATTTGTAAAATTCGGAAGCGTCTTGAAAAACGATATTGGAAGCGTTCTATAGTTATAAAATGTATGTAAAAAATTAAAATATTTCTCGTAAAGTTTGTAACATCGTCAGTTATTTTAAAGTTAGTACAAAAATATTGTTGTTTAGGCAAAAACGCTTTGTACCATTTTCACCTGGATTGGTTGTATACTTCGAACATATTATTAATAAAATTGTATACTTTTTTGTCTGTAAAAATATTTCATCTACATTATAAATAAGTGCTTGTATGGACAGGGAACAAACGATTTTATTTCACTGTTTTGGATATTATTTTTTTGTACTCAAATATGATTTTTGTGGAAATAAAATTGTTTGTCTTTTTTCTACAGCGGATTTTAGGGACACGTTGCAATACAAAACTTAAAAAGATATCAAAAACTTTAAACAGATATAGATTGATTAGTACGTATTTAAATAATTAGTACTATGTATGTATTACAAGTAATAAAGTTTCTGATATATTTTTGCGTTAAAGCTTTAAAGACATTTATTAAACTATTTAAAACGCGGTATAAATAAATCTAGACAACATCCTACCGAAAAAACATCAATTATTATAACTGCAACGATGTCCAATATAAATTTCCTTAAAATTATTTACCGTATACACTTTAAACCCTTATTATCTTGCACTCGTACACTAATATACTAAATTGAGGTAGACGGATGGAATTTTCAGTATTATCTTAAAAACGAATAAATTTAAGTCTATTCATTTAACAGACGGAGTAAGCAAAATAATTTCGAACTATGTCGAAAACTGAACTATAAAATTTTATCAAATTTTCAAAAATGTTCAAGATCTTTAAGATTTTTAAAATCTCCTTAATTTCTAAAATTATTTAATACACTCACAGTCAAAATAATCGATCCACACAAATTTTCGATGAATTTCAATCGCAAATAACTTTTTTATTTGATTTCGGATTTAAACAAATATTAATGAATATTGTAGATACATTAATGGAGAATCGCTAACATTTTAAAAATTACTAAAAAATACACGTACGTTTATAATATACAGGTTTAAACAAAAAGATGTTTTTTACTATAAGTTTGAGACACTCTGTAGAGTGGCAAAACCGTATATTGTTCTAAATTAAATTATCAAGTCACATCTATTTTTAACAGTTTTGTTTTTGGTTCACCTTGATATATTTATTTTTGTGAAAAATATGGATTTTTTTTAAAACATTGCAATTTCCAATATTTTTCCTGTTTGAAGAATTAAGGTTGCTATAGTCCATCCATAGCCTAGGGAGGGTGACAGTGACAGTTTTGTTATTCTTTTTTTTAAGTAAGAAAACACCTCAAAATTTAAACATTAATTTGCAAAAAACAATTTGATAGCTTTTGAAAGCCGTGTATGACATGTCCAAGTTTGGGATGATTCAACAAAACTGTCACTGTCATTCTCCATAGCCTATGGTCCACCATAGCAACCTTAGTTCTTCATACAGAAAAATATTGGAAATTGCAATGTTTTTTTAAAAATCCATATTTTCCAAAAAAATAAATATATCTAGGTAAACCAAAAACAAAACTGTTAAGAATGGATGTGACTTGATAAATAAAACTAAATTTAGAACAATATACGGTTTTGCCACTCTACAGAGTGTCTTAAACTTATGGTAAAAAACATCTTTTTGTTTAAACCTGTATATTATAAACGTACGTCTATTTTTTAGTAATTTTTTAAAATGTGAGCGATTGTCCATTAATTTATCTACAATATTCTTTAATATTCGTTTAAATCCGACATCAAATAAACAAGTTATTTACGATTGAAATTCATCGAAAATTTGAGTGGATCGATTATTTTGCCTGTGAGTGTATCTTAGTTAAAATTACTAAACTTCAAAAATTTCACATAATTTTAAAACTTTTACGATTTCCAAAATTTACAAAATTTCTAAAATTTTTTATAATTTACAAAGATTTTAAAATTAATAAATTTTCCAAAACTAATTTTAAAACTATTAAAAATTAAATAAAAAATCGAAATTATTAAAATTTCTAAAATTATTATTCTTTTTATTTAGACCGTCTGTTAAATGAATCGACTTGGCTTTTACATGGGGTGTTTCGTTTAAAAACACCCTGAAACTGAGGTAGTATGGATGGAATTAATGCGTGATGATAACCGGCTGTTTGCTATACATATTAAGACTAAAAACTCATTCCCCTGCTTTTGCGGTCTCAGGTTCCATTTCGTCTTCGCTGTACTCGTCCTCCTCTCCAGCCGAAGATTCCCCTTCATCATTTTCCTTAGGGTCTCTGTCGTGGTTCACCATTTCCGCTTCACCACGCCTTATTTCGTCGTTACGCTTGATCAAGTTGCTGTAGTCCGCGTTGTTCTGCATCTGCTGCATTTTCTCGAAGAGCTGCTGCTGCAGCCCCTTGTCCATCCCCATGGCGTTCAGCTGCGCGAATTTCGCCACCTGCATCGCGGCTGCGGCCTGCTCCGGCGACATCATTCCCATGCCCAGCGTGTTTTCCGTCATGTACTGGAAGTAGGAGTCCAGCAGCGGGCTGGTGGCGATGAGGTTCGCCGCCGCCGCCGCCGGGGGCGCCAGCGGCGCCGGGTAGGGCTCCTTGCTGAGGTTGTGCAAGGAGTCTATGCTCTTCGCCGCGACGGCCGCGCTCGCGGCGAACCTGCTAGGTTTGAAAGAGTTAGGCGGAGACATTGCGAAGTCGAAGGCGCCGTACCTTGGATGCGACATCGTCAGATCCTCGGGGTCGTTTTCGCCGCATATCGAGCTTCCGGCTTCCGATACGGCGCCGGAGTAGGCGCTTTTCGCGTCGAGTTTGACGTCGGATCTGCGCGGTCCGGTCGGCGATGCTCGGGCGCGCAGTTCTGCCGGACTTATTTTCACGCCGGCTTTCGCTAGAAGCCTAAAAAATAATTATGTTAAAAACCCATACTTATATATAAGAGCTTGCTTTTTATAAATCCAATGAATGAATCAAAGAAATTAATGGTGGGTCTTTCCATCTCAAATCGACCAGGCAATAAGGGGTAGGGTATTTTCGTGGTATAGGTAAGTTCATGATATAAATATATATATTTGTCAGTAAATAACCTATTGCTGTGGATGAAATTTTATTTCGGCTAATGGTTACTATATCTTTCTACTAGATGGCGCAACTTCGTGCATTTCGAAATCACGAATATACCAGGCGTTATAAAACTTTTTTTCTATGTTCTGCATATTATGAAGTAATTTTTGAGGGGCTTTACAGCTTGCAAGAAATTTGTTGTTTTACAAGGTGTAACTTAAAGCTGGGCTCTTGAAATTTGTACTATTTATAGTATTTAAAATGCAGAATCTTCCTTACAAAATCAGATTAACAAATTGTGGCAAAATTTTACGGTAATAGCTTATCCCGTGGAGTTAATTTGTTAGGTTTTTTGCAAGCGTTGAAGAAGTAAAAATGCAAGGCTTGCTTGATTTTTAATTATTTTGTTTCCTATGCAGTATTTACTGTCACAACTAAAATCATCACGAACATACCTTACTTTACCTTAGTTATTTTTCAACAAATTTTTTTCCCTACTTTTTCTTTTCGCTTAAATTTGTTTTGTTCACCGTAGGAAACTTTTGAAAAATTGATATCAATATTTCATTTTTTTACAGTGACATTTTTTCTTGAAAATGCGATAACTTGGCCAAAAATGTTTAGATCGTTACAATTTTTTTTAAATTGTTTTTTCTAAGAATAGCAAAAAAATCAAAATTTTGACATTGACACTTTTTTTTTACTTCATCTTTTTTTCGTTTGAAGTTGATAATCGCCTGAGATCTCAGCTCACTTCAATTAATGTGATATGAGATGTTGTGATGTAAGTAAGCATTAAAAAGAACGACACACTCAATTGAAACGCGCAATCTGTCGACGGATACGTAAATAAGAGGCAACATAACCTATCTCTGATATCATTATGTTCTGTGTCATATGTTTAAATTTGCCTTGAATTATTGATAATACAAAAATAATAATAAAAGTTTTATTTGATGAAGACGATGAACAAAAACACAAAAATTTTTTGATAAAAATATTCACTTTGATATGTTTTGTTTAATTTTATTGTAAAAAGTGTTTTTCTAGTTCTGAAAAACAATTTTGTTCGAATTTTATTTATTATATATTTATTATATACATATAGTTTATAGTCAATTTACAAAATTTAATTAATTTTATGGAAATTTAAGTTTTATTGCAAAAAATCATTTTTTTTTGTAAAAAATAATAATTTTTTGACATAAAATAAGAATTTAAAAAATCTTCACTTTTACTTTCTTTATTCAATTATATTGTAAAAAGTGTTTTCTCGTTCTTAAAAGCGATTTTATTCGAATTCTATTTATTATATCAAGCTTATAGCTAATTTACAAAATTTAATTATTTTTATGGAAATTGAAGTTTTATTGCAAAAAATCACCTAAATAAGATTAGGTTATGTTATTTAAAAACTTAACAAATCAATAATTTCTTTATCCCCTCCACTTTATTTCCGACTTAATTCAAACTGATTCCCCCGCACAGCTTATTTAGTATATGGTGAGTGAAGCAAAAAGAACGCGCACATTTGCAAATTTTACCGATGTGAGCTGAGATGAGATTTACTGAGATCTCAGGCGAAAAGAACGCACCTAATATGAACAAATTTCATCAAAAGTCGCGAGTTTCTTAAATTCGTCGTTATCGCAAAAAATTGGTATTTTATCTACATACATCTCATGAAACTGGGGTGACCTTTATAAAGTGTAATTTAGAACTTTTTGACATATTTCACATATTTTTGTCACTTCTGGTTTCACCAGAAATGCTCTTAAGTAAGAAAATTAATATTTTGGTCGGTTAACAGATATGAGTGAGACAGTCGCGAAACTCTTTTCGACTAAGGCTCTTTCAGGAAGGGCAATAAGTATTAAGCCTAAGAGGTTCAGAAACTAATGCGCAGGTTAATTATGTTTAGAAATAAGAAATTTTTATTTGATTTCTTATTTAGTTTTTTTATTTATTGCCAGAGATTCACATTTATGATATAACTTTTTATAATGGTTTCAAAATATTTGAATAATTTTATTTAGTACTTTTATTTTATAAAAAGTCTTAGCGTATGTTTTCATAGTAAAATAACATGTTAATATTCACTTACCATCAAAACAAACTAACAAACTGAAAGCGATATATATATTATTAAAAAATGCATTAATATTTGGTATCAAATTTAAAAAAAGTGGATTTCTTTTATGACCAACGATACACTCTCTTTTATTAAAAAAAATAGTTTTGGAATAAAGTATCGTTTTTAAATTTCTGAAAGCTCCTAAAAACCAGCATTGCAAAAAAAGAATAAAATTGTATTTTTTACAGACAACTTGGCCCAACATGAAGTAAAAAGTTCTTAATTACACTTTATAAAGGTCACCCCAGTTTTATGACCCTAGATAAAATAACAAATTTTTGCGATGAACCTCGAATTTACTAGAAAATGTAATTTTCATTAACAAAATAATAATTCCGAAACTACGAATTTAGCCAATTCTGGACTTTTTTATAAGTTGTCCATATTTATCAACTTTAAACGAAAAAAATAAAAAGTAAAAAAAAATGTGGAAATGTCAAAATTTTGAGATGGAAAGGCCCTGTAAATTTTTTTAAGAAACCTTACACATAATCTGGACGTCAAAAATACTTAAAAACCTAAGGTACTTACTTGCTGGCCAGATCTGGATCAAAGGGAGCGGGCATCGGCAGAACTGGAAGGTCCTTTGTGCTTATACCCCTGTGTTGCCTGGACATATGCGAATGCAGAGAGTTCCTGGACTTGGCCACTGTTCCGCACAAAACGCACCTATAACCCGGGCATATCGTGTGTTTATCTTCCAAGTGGGTCCTCAACGTATGCGCCGACCTGTATATTTTCCCGCACTTCGGACATGGACGTGGATCTGTGGCCCTAACCCTCATCATATCTAAAGAACGTCTGGAAACTAAAAATATTCTGTTAGTCAAAATTTTAAGAGAGTTTTTCTATTCTATATAGTCAAACATTTTACGCTAATTAAGTGAAATGAAAGCCAATTTAATCTAACTCTTTATTATAATAATTAGCTCGAGAATACTGACAATTAAAGGAACTTAATTTGGAAATTTTTAATAAACTTTATCACACTTTATCACACTATCTTTCCCACTTCATTTTCTTCATCAAACTCCACTCCAGCGCGTGTTTACTCCTCATATGATTCCTTACGGAGTTCGGATGCGCGAATTCCTTTCTGCAGTACGGCACCGGACACACAGGGCTGTCCCTGGGGTAGTGCTCATCCAGGTGCGAAACAGCCATGTTTCTGCACCGGAATATGTCCCCACAAAGAGGGCACTCGTGCTTGACGTTGGTCTTGAAGCTCTCCGATGATGGAACTGGACCACCACTGGCATCTGGAATGCCAAATTTGCCTCTGCACTTTTAGTTGTATACAAGTTTACAATTATACACATCCTAGGTATGCTATGCTCTTAATTAAACTCACTATTACACTCATCTAGAAAATTAGTTTTTTTTGTTACATGAATACCAGTTTGGTTTAAATGTTTACACGACTTTCATATTAAAGAGAGTATTTAAATGCAAAAATTATGATAACATTTGGACGATAGCTTCAAAAATGAATAGTTATTTTGATTATTACTCCTAGATTTTCTATTTTATAGTGTACATCCTTAATTTTGTCCATCAGAAGCAAAATTTGCACGTTGGACTATCTAAACTAAGTTTAGAGGTTAAAATAAAATCTTTTTCAACAATAACAATATTGTATTGCAAACATTATTGTAAATTTAGGTTGTTGATTTTACAAATAAATGATTTTATCTGAAATCGGCAGTAAAGTAGTTAACAATCGGCAGTAAAGTAGAACTTTACTGCCGATTTAATACGAGTATTGTATGCAACCCATTATATATTTTAAGATGTGTCTACTGCTACTCAGCAGCAACTAAATAATATTTAAAAAAAACCACCGTCCCGGAGGTCAATTGGACCCTTTCATTAAATGTTGTTTAATAAAAATTATTAATTATATTAAAAAATAGCCGGGGCGGGCAAATATATCATAACCATCGCAACAAACAGTATACGTAGACACTTCCTACATTCAAATGACATTTGATTTGATCATCAATATTAATTATTAGTATTATTAAATGTGGAAATAAAATTTAATATGCACCTAGGCATTAAAGTCATTTTTTATCACTCACGTGGTTATTTACCTCTTCAAATAATTTCCACATTCGTGATAAAAATACGACTTTACTACCTTGATACATAAATAACTATTTTATAAACTTACTTCTAAATTAACTATTATGTAATGTATATCTTCAATTTGTAAATTAAATATGTTGTAAATTTCTTCATAGCAAAGCCAATGTTTTATAAAAAAAATTATAGCACCTTTATAAAGGTGCTAAATTATAGAGTAACAATTAAAAAAAATAACAAAATATTTAATGGCCTCAAAAATATTTCATTATTTCTTAATTGTTTCTCTATAATTTTCTATTTTATAGTGTACATCCTCAATTTTGTTGAAAGGTTCAAAGGAGAATTTCTTCAAATTTTAAGTCATATATGGTTGTAAAATATTTAAAAATCTTTACACTTAACCCTAAGATAAACAATTAAAACATTCATCTAAAGTACTTTTAAAATTAGTGTACTTTACACCGGAAAATACCGTTCACGATGATCGGTAATCGGTTTTGGAGAATTAAAAGAAAATACGCCACAGAAAATTTAAGCGGCTTAACCTTGTCGTTTTCCATTTCCATTCACGGGCGTGTCGCCTCGCGATTCGATAAAAAACTTTTTCATGTACGCTTTCCCCTAAATCTTTCTTTTATTCCCGTTTTTACATACTATTTCCATTATTTTAAACTAAGTACTTGCATCGTCTATATCTGGCATTTTAAAGTTTCACTTTCCTAAAAACGTTTTTATATAAAATAAAGTTTGGTGCAAAAACTGTAAAAATTGTGCTACAAATAACCCAACTATTAACATTTTAAGGCGCGATATTTTTAAGAACTTTACAATGCCAATCACGTGAAGAGCCCTCTTAATGATTATACGACTTTTCATTTAAAGTACGGAGAGTAAAAAAACTCCGTAATTACATTAGTGTAATGGTGGCAGTATCTTTTTTATCCTTCCCGGCAGCCAATAGACTTTAGTGGCTATTGGCGTGGGGGAATAATAAAAAATTCCGGAAAACAGATACGCTGTTATTAAATTGGATTTATGGGTAATAAAGGGAACAGGGATAGAGAAAAAACGGAAGCGGTTTCTTTTCTTTCCGGAACGAACGGCCAATTTTGTAATTAAAACAGACCCCCTATTACACTGATCTAAAGAATTTTGCTTTTTATGTTTTGTTCTAAATGTTTTCAGTATTTTATTTCAAGCCAAAAATGACAATTCATAAAACATAAATTGTCAACAGTATTTATCGGAAAAGCTCCCCATTCACGTCAAATTATCCTCCAGATTATCCATAAAATGTAATTGTCCTCTCGCTTATTTTTTCTTCTCAGTCGGCCGCAGAGCGATAAGAAAGGCAGGACGACGTGGCATTTCCTTATCATCAGTGGGCAATATTTCAGGAGTTCGATTTTGGACCCCGAAGAGAGCGAGAAAGAGGACCACTTTGATACAGATAGAGTAAGACAACTAAGAATGGACGAACGGAATGGTATAAATCAATAGGGCCGACCGATTTCGAGGGAGAAAAGCCTCAGTGACGTAACAAGCAATCGAAATAGAGAATTCACTTTCTAAAGTTCGCATAGAGCGGGTCAAAGAAAATCAATGTTATGTTGTGCAAAATATATCAAAAATCATACCAAAGTTAAGTTTTCATTATCAAAATTTAAGGTTGGTGTCTTCAGAAATTAATACTTTTTTCATATTTGCTCCTAAATTTTTTATTAGATTTTATTGCAAAAGCATTAAAGTCAATTATGATGGCTTCAAATATTTATACTTTTTTCTATTTTTCTATTGCACATCCTAAATGTTATTCGCCAGAAGCAATATAATTGCTAACCCTGCTCTTTATTGTCTTTTTGATGGTTGACGAGTCGTCAATGAGTCTCCCAATTGCGATGTTTGACTGTATAGGCCTCCATCACATCACTATCCCATTTCATTTATCCAACGTTCCCTATCCCCCTCCCGCTTTCTCCTTCTTCGTCTTGTCCTAAAGCGTTCGATCAATTGCAGAAGCTGCTGTTTGGATTGTTTACGGGTTTGGCAGACAGTTTCAAAGGAATTAAGCTGAATAAAACAACACCATACTCATTCTGTGTAAAAGATTTTAAATCGTAGAATTTCAGTAAATGGATGTTCTGTTCATAAAGTCATAAACTTAATGGTTGGAAACGCGATTTCTTTAAATAAAATAAAGGGAAAGCCGCACCGAAAAAGCGAGCCTTTTTATTGAACACCAACGTTATGGCGTCCAAGCACGGAATATCGATAACAGTCCCGCGCGCTCTTTAATGTCTTTGCCAAAACTTTCTGCTCTATATTCTCGGACCCTGCTTTGTAATCCCTAACACAATACCTGCACTTTGGGACACCAAACTAAGTTGACAGGATTAAAGGAACACTTTTACCACCAATAAATGATTATTTTGATATTTACTTCTAATTTAAGGGGTTACATACATTTGTGCTGGATCAAAAAATCGATTTTTTTATTAAATATTCTTACAACATATGCATCAGATAGTTGCAAACTTTTTCATAGCTAAGCCAATGTTTTATCGCAAAAGATATAGTAAATTTTGAATAATGGCTTTAAAAATGAATAGTTTTTTTGATAGTTACTTTTATATTTTCTATTTTATAGGGTACAGGGTGATCCCCTATAATGTCGCCCCCCTTTAACTTTTTTAATTTAAGCGTCCCAAAAAATTTAAAAGTGTGGTTATGTAGGTACTAAAAAATACTTTTTTTTACGTATAAAGAAAATTGGAAAATTGATCAGTATACAGGGAAAATCAAAAAGTTTATTTTTTTTCAATGGATCACCCTATATATGTATTTATTTTTCGATTGCTTGTAAAATTATAAGCATATTTCATATAACATGCCATATACCTAAATTCAACCGTTCCTGAAATATTTAAATTATAAGTTGAAATAGTTTGTCTTTCTCTGTCTGAGTACGCCATTTTTACTTATTTAACAACACATACTGATATATTGTCAGTATAGTAATTTATTTTCAATAAAAATTTTGATATACTGAGGCTACTTGATTTCTAACAGTTTAAAAAACATTTAATGATGAACATTCGAATGCGAATATTTCAGAAACGGTTGAATTTAGGTATATGGTTTGTTATATGAATAATGCTCAAAATTTTACAAGGAATCGAAAAATAAATTCATATATAGGGTGATCCATTGAAAAAAATAAACTTTTTGTTTTTCCCTGTATATTGATCAATTTTCCAATTTTTTATACGTAGAAAAAAAGTATTTTTTAGTACCTACATAAATACACTTTTAAATTTTTTGGGACACTTATAGGGGATCACCCTGTACATTCTTAATTTTGTCTAATCTGCAAATCTGCAATTTGGTTCACCTGAACTAAGTTGAGAGGTTAAAATTTGTGTAAAAATTATACCAAATGGACGATGTCTTTAAAAGTAATTACTTTTTTTAATAGTTATTTCTAAATTTTCTATTTAATAAAATAAAAAATTTAGAAATCTTTAAAAAAAATAATTACTATATATAAACTAAGAAGAGTTTAAAAATGACAAATTTTGCAACAATCCGAATATTTTATTGAAAACATATATAGTTTTTTGGCTTCACAAACAAATTTTTTAAAATTTTCTTTTAAATAACTATTATATAGTATACATATTCAATTCTGTCCATCATATACATAGGATGTAAATTTCTTCATTCAAAAAAATATGGTAAATTTTAGACGTTAAATTAAAAAATTAATACTTTTTTTGATGGTTACTTCTAAATTTTATAGTTCACATTATTAATTTTGCCCACCTAAACAGTTAAACTAGGATTGTCGAAAAATGGGAAATCTGAATGTTTTTTTGACAAAGATATACTAAAATATGTTTATAAAAACAGGTATTAAATGTTGTTTTAGAAATATTTTCTGGGTAATATTCCAACTCTTTTAATTAATTCATAATTAAAACGCCGAAACCAGATAGCAATCAAATAATGGTTAAAATAATTGTTGGTTGACTTTTAATTTATTACCATAGAAATAAATACGATACTTCGGTAGATATCCGTGAACTTTATAAAAAATGTACAAATTTTGTTCGAACTATTTTTTAGAAAATTGTAAACCAGTTTTTTGTATAACATTACCAATTATCAGGTTACATGAATCACGGTTGGTTAGAGTTTTCCAATGATTTGTTAATGGTAATAAATAAATAATTAAAGTTAATTAGACCTAGTTAAGATTTTTGTTACATTAAATATTTTGTAATAACATAAAATCTCACAGGAGTAAGTTAATATTTCGTTTCAATCAAGAATAAAACCTAACAAAAGGACCAAATAAATTTCGTAAAAAAGAAGAGTGACGTTTAAAATCCTGAAACCGCCCAAAATATATATAATTCATAATATATGGACCATGGACCGGCTATGTTACTTGACACATTGTGCGGAGGTCCTGTCAAAATAGCGTACCGAAAAATTTTCGGGATACAATAAAATATTTAATAATACGAAGTTTTTATTATATGTATGAAAAAAGTTACTGGGGTTGCCCCGCTTGATATGTGGCATATGTCATTGTTTTTGTGAGTGTTTTTTGTTTGGTTAATGTTTAATGAAGACGAGGTCCTTTGTAAGGAATTTTATATATATATTTTTTGATATTTGAACTTGCATAAAATGTTTGACTGTATATTTAGAATATGTTTATTATAATTTTTTATGCATAATATACTTACCAAAATTATCGGGACTGTTGTGCATTCCTGAAGGTCCTGGCATCAGTCCTCCTAAGCCTGAAATAAGACAAATAAAAATTAAGAAAATACTACTAAAAGATTCTAAAACTTGTAAATGAGAAAAAATTGAAGTTACACTTCGCCAAAGTTTTTTGTTTTGAATGCGTTCCACCAACTTAAAATACCGACAGACAGCTGTTTCGACCTATATTGGGTCTCATCAGTGTCGGGCAACTTGGTGTAGTGGAACACACTCAACAAAGGACTTATATGCTCGGTTGGTAAGCCAACAGAGGCGAGATGTAAGAACATCAAGTGATTCAAAAAATTCAAAACTAAAAACTTTGGCGAAGTGTAAGTTCAATTTTTTCTTATGAATATTACCAGTAATGGATCAAGAAAGTTTCTTAAAGAAACTGAGAAAATTGAATGTTTACTTGTAAATGAATTTTAAAAAATCAACATTATCTACCTTGTAGTCCAAGTAGAGCTCCGGGGAAGGGGTTCCGCGATTGGTCCATGAGACCGCCGTTGGTGTTATATGGGTGATGATCGTCCAGCATGGGGTAGTCGGATTGTTCAGTCTTTGTGTTATTATTGGGACCGTCATCGCCATGTTCACTCATCGCCGTGTCGCTGGAATTGCTGTCCTCTCCTGTCGATTGCGCTTGCAGAGACGAATCGGATTTCTGGCGGAAAATGACAATAAATGAAAAATTTGAAGAAAAATTTCACAAATATATAATATTTCATTTTGAAACCCATGAGTTGGTAGGGTTTGTTGACAAGTAACTTTAAATCTCGTGACATGGAAAGTGATTAGGAAAATTAATTTCTCCCAGAAGCTGTTAATAAGGCAGAAACAGTTATTTTGGTATACTTTGAAGAAAAGTCCAAAAGATGGAAATCCTCAAGGCTTTGGACAGATTATTCCATGTTGAAGGCGATGATGAACATAAAGGTTCAGGACATGCGAAAATATTAAAAGCTTGTTGTTTTTTTTTTAGCAAAAGGGCGAGACAAATTTCTCCCAGAAGCACAGGATGAATCTTAGCTTATGCAGATGAATTATTTATTTATTTAACAAAGAACTCTTAATTTGATTAAAAACCAACTTGTAAGTTTTAAAAAACCTGCACTATTTGAAGCGGTTAACATCTAAAGGTTTTTGCAATACAGGATAATTTTTATGCTACAAATTTAAATTGCTCAAAGCTAGAATTAACAAAAATTACCTTAATAAATCTTCTAAAATCAAACAATAATAACAGTAAAATTTTTTCGGAAATATATAAAATAATTTTGACTGAAAACAAACAAAGAATATCTTATAAAGCTTTAGATATAATTTTTAAAATTAAACATAAATTAGTACTTAAATATTTTTATTGTGATGTTTGGTATTTACATACAATTCATATGTATGAAACAAGACAAAACAAAGACCTTTTTATTAAAAAGTGTAAATGTGTAAATGTTTTTTCCAATGGTTTAAAACTTTTCAATAATTTACCAAAAGATATAAAGTATTGTGATAATTATAATAGCTTCAAGAAAATGTTAGGCAATTATGTAAAAAATATATATTAGTAGTAAACAAACTGTTATAAATAGCATGGCTAAATAAACTATATTTTATTTTTATTTTATTAATTATTATTTTCAAAAATGGCGAATGCGCCGGGAATAGAGCAATTCGTTATTGTAGTATAATAACAGTAGATTGTGTGAGAGGAAATTAAGGCATTTAATTAGAATATTTCTCTAAGATTCTGTCACTTAATTTTTAGGTTAGTTTTAACATTTTGCTTAATTAGCTCTTGTTTTTGCGATATTGTGGAAAAACTGTGTTTTTATAAAGTTACATTACCAATGTTTCTCGGTTAAAGTATTTGATTATCAATATAATATTAATATATATGATCAAATCCTTGGACAGGATAGTTACCATATGTTTTAAAGTAAAGCAATTGAAGAAATTTCCGCTACACTCCTTTCAAGCCGATTTTATGAGCTTCATAAATTGGATTCCAGATTTAACAAAAGCAAAATAAAGGGTCTTAAAAGTTTTCTCATTTTTAAAGTTCTTGTGTTTCGAATTAGAAAGCCTGATCTTAGTGAAGAGTTTATAGTTTATTCTATATGTGTAAAAAAATTTAAGTCGGATCAAACTCCACACCTAGATCTCGTAAAGCCGAAACTTTTTCTAATTTTCATGGGTCAATGCAATATTCACTAATAATAACATTTTTCTTTCTGGAAAATATCATTGCTTTAAATTTAGTTGTATTTAGATGTAGATAATTTTGTGCACACCAATGCGCAACATTTTTTAAATTACAACAATCCTACGTCGAATTAATTTTAGCAAACATTTTTAGAGCTGATTTACCAAAATGATGGTCACTTTTGGAATCAGCGCACCCAAATTGCCCTAGAGAAATTATTGGCCACCTTGTGGCAAACAAAAAATTTTATATTAATAATATAATAATAATAATAATACAGTTAATGTTATAATGTTATGTCATATAAAAATATATATTATGTCATGTTTAAATTTGTATTGAACACAAGTCGTTCAAATAAATCAGAAGTGGGATTGAGCAAAGCTAAATGGTTTTTTGATGGATGGATGTTGATGGATTTTTTTAATACTGTGTCAAAATATTCTAATGTTTTAAAAATTAAATAATATTCTATTGTAAATGTAAAAAATAATAATCATAATATTTATGTTTCTATTTATTTTCATAATAAAGTAAATCGTTCATATATTAATCTTTGTTCTTCAAAATCGCAGTTTCGACAGTCGCCGTTATTTGCGATATTGGGCAACTATTGCCAACAGCTATTTGATCACCGTTAGAAATATTTTGCCCATCAACAGTATAAACGCTTTGTATCAAATTATTAGAGATGGAATTTTAGGTTGCAAAAAAAAATTTATAAAAATAGGTACCTACTATGTTAAGGCAGCGACACAAAAGGTTTTTGTAAATAAGCATACAATTGCTCTTAAAAATTCAAATGTATTATGATTTAAATGTTTAAAAAAATAATTTGTCATAAAAAATCAAAAATTTCCCAGAATTTGTAAAAATGCAACAGGAATCTCATATTTGCGTCATTCACGTCACTAGCGTCATTCGAGTCACTGTTCGCGATTCCCAGTACCAACCACTATGTTGGTAATGTGGGTTGGTAGGTATACCAACTAACCACAGACTGTGCCAACCAATACACATTACCAACAAAAATAACTACAGAGTGCATAAGAATTATGTCATCCAAATACAAAAAAGTATGTTTTTGATGGTACAATTTGAAAATTTTTCTTTTTTCTGTAGAAACTTGACATTGTAAGTAGAAATTTTGAAATTTTACATTATAAGTTTTAAAATTTTACATTATAAGTAGAAACTTGACATTGTAAGTAGAAATTTTATTTATTTATTTATTTTTCATAACCATATATTTTAATAGCAAATATTCTAACATATAAAACTTAACCAAACTTTTTAAGAAATTTTTAACTATTATATTAATACCTACCTCATTTTTTGTAGTTTGCCTGAAGATGGTATTTTAAAATACCGAAACTAGTAGCAAATAAAATCTATTAACCAAGCAAGGAAGTATACTTATATAAATTCAAAATATCCAATATTCAAACCTTGTTAAAAAAACAAAACAAAAACCTAATAAATATTTTTTTAATTTTCAACTGAGCAAAAATTGATTTTTGATTGGTGTTTAAATTTATAAAGGGTGTTTCCAATATCTTTGAATTTTGATTTGATTTGTAATCTACGACCAAAAATTAAGTTTACGTGTGCGAGCGTTAGCTGTGATATTTTCACCTCCCTACAGTGTTATCTACGAAATCTGTCTTATCTGTCTTACCTCCTTGGTGTGTAAGGTGGGTCCGCCTTCCAGCGCCTGGCCGAGAAGGGACTCCTGCATGTCCCCGTTGCCCCTGGAGGGGCTGCGATGCCTGTCGGGCGTGTACACCCCGCCGCCGACGCGATCCGAGCTCCTGGACCTTTTGGCCGGAGGCGGCGATAGGGCGCCGCCGTCGCGTAACGCGTCCGGTCTGTCGGTGGCCCAGGGCAGCGACGAAGAGTTCTACAAAGAGGGGAGAACGGTCTTAGATAACGGGGAGATATATTTGAAGGGTGCACGTTTGAATTTTTTGTTTCTGGAATATAGTGTTTACAAGTAACATTTTTAGTTTTATTGTGGTCTTCAAAGTTTTATTATGGTCTTCAAGAACGCTTTAAAACAAAATTTTGTTTTAAAACGTTCTTGAAGACCATAATAAAACTAAAAATGTTACTTGGGTTAAGTGAGTTTAACGTCCGCGACAAATTCAAATGGTCCAAATATAGTACATAGTTTTAAAAATAAACACTGTGCAACAAAAAAATAGCTGGGTGACAAACTATAGTTTTTGCTATAGCAAAAATAAATGTATAATGTATACAGTATAAATGTATAACGTATACAGTATTACGAAAAAATGAATTTGAGTTTCGGGATTTTTTATATCTCCTCTAGTTTTCGAGCTATTAATTAATTTTTCTAATGTTTTTTTTTTCATATTGGAGATTCAAATAAAAAAATGTGCCTTAGTCAAAGTGTAATTGATCAAGAATAGTATATTATTTTAAAATTAATGATTTTTAAGGTGTTTTTTCTTTTATGCTTAAAAATTAAACTAAAATTGTTTAGTACAAATATATAGAATATTTGTATATAAAGGGATCAATGCAAGAAGTGCCCAAGTCACATTTTCAATTAAATTTTTATTGTGGCTTCATCTAAGAGTTTTCACGTAAGTTGAAAACTAGGCAAACTCTCATTAAAGTAAATAAAAACTAAGGCACTTGGGCACATATTTTTGCCACTTTGAAAATACCACCTGAAACCTTACGTGAAACACTCTTAGTCACAATGTAAATTTAATTGAAAATTTGACTTAGGCACTTCTTGCATTGACCCCTTCATATGTAGAATCATGTTTTTAAGGTTTAAAAAAAAAGAAAAATATTAATCATGTAAAAACGAAAAAAATATTAAACAATTTAAAAATCATTTATAAAAAAGCGTTAAGATCGTGTTAAAAATGGGTAAAAAATTAAAAAAAAAGAAATCGAAAAATAAACATATGTTTTCTTATAAATCTATATAAGAAGAGATATCGAAAAAATTTAATTTCAAAAATGAATTTAAAAACAAAAAAGCATCGGTAAATTTAATAAAAAAGCATTGACATTTTTTTTTCAATGAAACACCCTGTATATATTTAAATATAGTTTTTTCTTCTAGTTTCAAACATATTAAGTGTTTATATATTTGTGTTAAGTGTTTTGTTAATTACTGACCCAAAAATTATGCTAAATTTAACGAGAATCATGGTTGCCATAATTAAAAAACTTTTACACTAAAATAAGCATGGCGTTTGAAACAATTATTAGCGTTTTGTTAAAAATTAATAATAAAAACATGTTATTTTACGACGTGAGTTCTTTATCCATGGCAAAATAAGCCAGGTTTTTGGTTCAATTATTAATAAAATGTTTGTTTAATTCAAACATACAAGTTGTATATTTTTGAAATTGATTATAGTAAAAAACTCTATCTAAATATTTAAAAATATTTAGGGTGTTACATTGAATAAAATAATGTTATAAACATTTTAACAATTTTACCGATGCTTTTTTGTTTTTTAATTTTTTCAAAAAAAATATTTTTTTAAATCATGCAAGCTGAATTTTTTAATATCTCTTTAAATAAAGATTTAAGAGGATTTATAGGAAAACACACTGTACATAAATATACTTACAATATAATGTTTATTTAAACAGCAAAAACAAATGAAGACCGGAATTTTTTTGAAAAATTACAATATAAATTAAAAAAAACATGCAAAAATATACATATCTTAAAAATGAGTGAAAAAAATTTAAAATTAGGAAAATCCTATAAAAAAACATACATAAATATCGTGATTTTGAATTAAAAAAATATTAAAAACCCTTTGTCTACTACATTCTAGATCAGTAATTTAAATTTAAAATTAAAAAAATATCTTTAAGCAATTAAAAATAAAATCTTGTTTCTTTGGGTAAAAAAATTATCTTCATTAGGATAACAAATTCTAAAATTTGTGCCCGCTCGAAAAATCTATTGAGGTTAATGCAATAAAACACTTTAGAATGTTTTAATATTAATTTATGTTGATTAAAAATAATTTAATGCACGCAGTACTTTGATTTAAATGACAAAGTTCCAAAGTTAAACCGCAATTTTTAATTTATGGTTAATTTTTCTAATGAGAACTGTTGTTGTGGGCACCAAATGTTAACTACGCCTTGTGCATACGAATATTAGAGTACTGTTACTTAAAACTAAAATGTTATATTCATTTTTCTTATATTTCCAAATTTATTGACGTGGGAATCTTATGGAAATAGCTTAAAAGTTGTTTTGTATCTTTTACATAAAAATTATTTGTGAACATTTTAAAGCAGTTAATGTGTTTAATAGAAAGTCCTAATAAAAGGCAGATGTAAAAGAAACATAATAAATTTAAATAACGATTATTATCAAATAATTAAACTTTTAAATACGAAAGTACTAGTAGAGATTAAAATCAATAATTTTATTTCTTACGTTTATTCTTAAAAATTAAACTAAATTATATTCGCAGTCGATACGATAATTAAGCGTTATCAACTCAAGTCTTGATGCTTAATTAATGCTAATTTCAACGTTACATGTGTACCAACATTAAAAAAATCTTTACTTTCGCCCTCGGGGGTTAAAGGCACGCGACCCCGTTTTATTACGTTTTCAACGGTATGCGTGATCCGATGCATTCACTAACACTGAAATCACCCGGTAATGCCAACATCACGCAATTGAAATTGGGGGAGAAACGTACGTTACCTTTGCTTCGCGCAGTGGTCACAACCCCTAAAATTTTAATTTAATAGGTATGATACGGCAAGTAATACCTCATTTCAAAGGCCTTGCTCCACTTAGTATCATGATAAAAAGTCAAAAAAGTTGCAACAGCGAACTTCGTTTCTTATTCAAATAAAAAAGTACAGATAAGGAATTTAAGAAAAAATCCTATAAATAAACTGTATATTCAATAAAAAAAAGCCTTAATCAGTCTTTTAAGTATTAGTTAAGTTTTATTTAACAAAGGTTTACAGGATTGCGAAAAAAAAAAGTTAAAAGGCAGATTTATTTAATGAACATGAGAATAGTTGGTGGTAAGGTTTAAATAAATAAATAAACTTTGTTCTACTGTTTCATTTTTCTTCCGATCGAAATAAAGCATATTTAGAACAAGAACTTTAATGTACATATCGTTTGAAATCGGCGTTTCTACTTAATGTAACGTACTTACTCGTGGCGTAATAAAAATATTTATGAGTGCGTAATTATACGCATAGCTCGGGCAAGATTAGAATCAGAGGGTTCTAAATTATAATTATATATTTAGAAGGCAACAAAATTAGAACAACGTACGGTTCACTCGAAGTATGTATACGAGTAGCATGTAATAATAAAAGTTAAGTACCTAGATGGATTTTTGGATTAGGATTGTTTATTATATCAATTGTTATAAATAAGGCTGTGAAAAGTTTACACTAAAACATTAAAATATGCAGCATATTTTGCACGATAAAAATCAGAAAAAATACTAAATCGTGTGTATAAAGAGGAAAATATATTTAATTTGTGGTCTATGTTTATGTTTATTTGTGTTTAGAATTTCGACGAGGTCTTCTAGGACAGCAAATTTTAAATTTTTCGCATGACTAGTTTTTTTTTTAATTTTTAAATTTTAAATTTTAAATGTTCAGAAAAGTGTTGTAAAATTAGAGTTGTTAATGATACTGACGAACGGGAAATCAGTCTTAATCAAAAATACAATCAGTTACCAATCAAGGAGGATGAAAAGAAGCCAAACACCGGAAACAGTTTTTTAAATCCAGGGCCAGATTTACATGTTTAGGTGCCCTAAGCAAAAGTCATAGGAAAATAATTTAACCTAACTAACCTAGCCTGTGCCAATACTATTTTCTGTTCAGGTTAGGTTTTACTTAAATGAGAAAATTATATATTTTCACAAAAATGGCAACTTAGATACCTACACAAAAAAATAAGAAAAGCTTTTAATAATAATAAAGTGGAAAATATACAGAATATGTATTATTTTTCTTTACACAAGTGAATCCTTTAATTTTAATTCCTTTCAGTTTAGAAAATCTTTATATAGCATTAGGGAAAGCCGCTTCAATTTTGTCATGAAAAATTGTATTACATATAGTGAGATATTTGTTCCGTGTCTAAAAAAGAATAGACATGCAAATCTTTCAGAAATTTTTCTCTCAACGAATTTAAACTTTTCAGTGAGTAGCTTATAGTCTCAATAACATTGAAAAAACATAAACATATTAGTGATATTGTTATAAATCAAAGCTTTTCTTCTAAATTCGCTAAAAGTGCATCAACCATTGCATACGGAATTTATCTCGAGAAAAAAGCGTTTTTACAGCATCAGGGTTTTTCTTTCGCTGTAGATTCAATATCATTGATTTTCTCTCTAAAATTTTGCGCAAAAAACCGGGGCCCTAAGCAACTGCTTATTTTGCTTATAGGTAAATCCGGCCCTGCCTGAGCCTTATGTTGTAGTTTTTGATTTTAATGTTTCCTATTATCAATTTTTCTAATATATTGCGTTTAATTATGGGCGACCTCTAAATATTATTCGATTCCAAAAAGAAATGTATACTTTTAAAGATTTTAAGTACTTATTAATTAAGAAAAACATATTGATGTTTACCTACGCCTTATATTTATTTATTACATTTATTATTGTGCTAAACAAGCATAATTTGATTTATATTTGTACGTGGGTGAACGCTTTATTTGGCGAAAGGTTACAATACGAACTTTTGGGAAACAAATTTTATGACATTTTTTTATTGTGTTATTGAGTATTTTAAACGTAATTTAATGTAAGTGTAAATCCACGTAATATATCTAATCTTGCCAAACTTGATTTTTCAGCCTTGGGATTTTCGACTGTATTATGGTAATAATTGTATATTTAACGATAATTATGATTGTTTTTAAGAAATCTAGTTTTGTTGCTTTTATATTTTATTTAAATATGCATTTGCGTGATTACCTGTTTACCCATGGTTAATTATTTATTTGTGTTACTTACTACCTGTCCAATTATTGTTTTTATTTCCAATGAAACTGATTTAAATGCGAACATGTTAATTTGGATTTTTGTCTACAAAAAGGTGACGTCACGCGTATGTATAAAAACCGCAAACCCCCAATTAGTTGTATTAATCGAAAAAGGTAAAAAAAAAACTTACAGGTGAGATCTTTTCTGGTACAGTCAGTCTTTGGCCTGCAGCTCCTGCTGAAACGTCAGCTAGTCCTCTTACTTGTAACATTTGGGCAGTCTTTAAAAAATCTGTTAGATGTTCTTGTCCTATATGAACTTCTCCATTATACATAAACCTGAAATAAAACAAGAAAATTGTTTATTTATTACATCCTTAATACTACAGGAATGAGTCGTGAGATTTTGACAAATTCCTGCAATAATGACTGTATCAATTTCAGGTAATGTATGAGTAAGGATTATTTGATTCAAGAAATATTATATTATTTATATTTATCATCTACATACTAAAGTCTGGTTATTATTTTGTTAAAATGGACGATTTGATTTCTTTTACTTCGTCTACAGCGGAATTGCTCAAATCTTGATATATCCAAATCAAGTTGCCAAGACAGATCAAGGTACCTACATACAAAACGCTTGCCGGTCATATTAATTAAAGCAATTAAACTGTCCTATCATTGTTGGGATTTTTTTCATTTTAATAGTGTGCCCGATCAAAAAACGAAACGTAATAAAACTCCGACATGATATAGGTCTAAGTACTTATGATGCTTAAATTACATTACTGCTAACAGACCCAGGTAGAACTAGATACAAAACCTGATCCGGGACTAATTAGCTACAGAGGGTTATAGTTTACTCAGTTTTTAAATGGAATGTCGGATTTAAATATTAAATCTGTGAGAATTATTCGATATGAATTAAATCATTTTATGGTATTTAAATAGTTTTGTTCTATGAATGTTATTTACAAATCCCATCGTAGATTTTTTAGTTTAATTACAATAATTAGAAATAATAAATATCGTAAATGTATTGTCTAGACAATAACATCTCTGGTTTAATTAGATATTTTTTGAATAATTAGAATTTATAAAACCCAAAATAATTACATTGCCTGCGGATAATAGTTATTACCCTTTACAATAGGTGTGCTGGTAAATTATAATTTAAAATCATAAATAATTATTTATTGATATTGCCCAAGGAACAAGAATCTTTTTAGTTTGTTAATTAGGATTTTTATAGAACAGTAGAATAATTTAAAAAACTATAGTTACAACACCATGGCGTGTATTAAAAGCATAAATAGATTTTTTTCTAAGGGAAGTGTAACATGTTTTTAAAAGTCTGTAATTAAATGTGGAAATTTCAATGAATTTTTTGATAAAAATATTATTCTTCAAATTACAGTCCAATCTTAATGTATTTCAGTGTTAAAATTGTATACTATGTAAAAGTTTGATAAACGCCATTTTAGTTAGGAAAATATCAATTTGTATATGTAAATCGAAATTTATCCCTTAAAAATGAACTAACAACAGTTTTTTACAGTAAAAGTGAAGAAAATGTTTTGGAGTGTGGAGACTCCACCCTAAATTAAATTAAATCTGGTTTACTGCCAGCGAAATTAAAAATTTTCAAATATTGGGGTTGAGAAACTATTTAATCTTTTGTATTTTTAGCCCGTGACTAAAACGCCAAGTCAATGTCAATTAAAAAGTCACTTAGTTTCATGAATGCATGTAGGATAGTGGGCGTTTTAAAGGTGGGTGTAGAAAAAATTGCATATCTGTACTTACCTCAATAAACTCTCCATATCTTTCTGTTGCACATCCCTTAGTATGACAATAGGATGTGAGCAAGGATTCGCCTTCAGTAACCTCCTAAAATATGGACTACATGCGGAAAGAACCACTTTATGTGCTGTAAATGAGCAGCCATCACAAGCCAAGGTTACGTCGACAAAATCTTCCTCGTCCCTTAAATGCCTGAAAAAAGTTTTTGATTTGAACCCATCTAAATAACAGTTTAAATATAATATGTACACCACTGACTTTTTATGTTTTTATTAGTATTAATATTTATAATAATTACTATATTATTATTTACTGGGTATTCCCAGTTATAACAAAAGTTACATCCTGAACTTTTTTAGATTTTTGCTTTATTATATTTTCTAAACTGAACGAAGACCCAAAAAATATCAAGACACAAAATTTGTAGAAAATTTAGAAAAACTTTTGGCATTACAACCTGAAAAAGTTGTCAAAATGAATGAGTACTTTTCTCTACCAAAGATTTGATAACATTGCTTTATTAAAGAGGAAATTAAAATGGATTTATTTTCTAACCGCGACTAAAACCAAAAACCATCAAGATACAAAATTTACAAAAAACTTAAAACACTACAAAATCAGTGGCATACCCATATTTTCACCAATTGCATCACTCTTAAACGCTTACCTAAAGGAACTCAAAATTGAGGAGTGAAAGTCGTTCCAGCGCAGCGAGTACTGCTGATCAGGGGAGGTGTCGGCCCCCATTGGGCAGTTGGATGGAGCAATTTCTATGCCAATGGTTGCGCCGTAAGAAAACACTGTTTTTCAAGGGTTTTTTTGTTTTTGGCGTTTAAAAACGCGTGGTTGGACGGTCGCTATCTCGACTTCATTTGTAGTCCAATCAATGAGGTTTTTTTTGTTCCTGTAAGAAAAATAGAGAAATAATTGGATTTTCCTTTTATCCTATAGTATGGAAATTACGCTAAAATTATCTTTTATATTTTGGTTGTTTTGGAAAAATTATTGTGGTTGGATATCAGTTCAAAATATGTTGATATCTTATGGATTGGTTTAACCACTTGTAATACGTAAGTGTTACCTAATAAAAATTTGTTTACGTGTTTTGACAAATATTTTAGAATAACTATGAGTGTTATTTTGACATTAGACCCTCAAAAAATTGTCAAAATTGATGATACATTCCTACTTGCATTACAAATAAATCCTTTTGAAACACTTTTTGGTTTTAGAAGATTTAGCAAAACCATTTACTCAATGGCAAAACTATAAAAGGCATTTAAAAAAGCGATATTTGTCAAAGATAATAATAAATTACTAGACACAAGACCAACTTTTTTCTTTAAAAATTGTCAGTACTCTTTTAAATTGGAAGATTTAAAAAACTGTAAAATGAATTTGAAAGAGGGTCATTTTGACATTGTCAAAGTTGATAATTAATTACTAGACTTCTTGATATACTTTTTTGTATTTAAAAGAGCTTTATTTTGACAGCAGACCCTAAAAAAATTGATGATAAATTTTCATGACGAATAATTTTATTAGAAAAATGTCAATTCCTTTTTTGTTATAAAAGATTTAGAAAAACTGTAAAATGCATTTAAAAGAGCTTTATTTTGAGAGTAAACCATCAAAAATTGATATAATTGATAATTAATAAGTAGACTTAAATGACGAATATTATTTTTAACTTACATTTTTGTTTAAAGTTAAATAAAAACCAAATAATGTATTTAAAGGATCTTTATTTTGACAGTAGAAATTAAATCAAAATAATTATTGTAATAACTGATAATTAATTACTAAACTTTATGACGAATATTTTTTTTTTGAAAAACCTCTGTGATTTTGTTGTTTTAGAAGATTAAGAAAAACTGCAAAAGTCATTCAAAAGAGCGTCATTTTGACAGTAGACTCTCTAAAAACTGTCAAAGTTGATGATACATTAGTTACTAGACTTACATGAAGAATTTTTTTTTTTTTTGAAAAAACGTCTGTAATTTTTTTGTTTTAGAAGATTTAGTAGATAATTTTATAATTAATTTTGTAACTAGTGTGAATTTTGCTAAAAATATCTTAGTGGTTTAAAAAATAGTTTAGCCAAAAATATATGCTTAAAACGCATAATTCATAATGTTCTTTAAATTTGCGTGATTTTTTCATAAAATTAAAAATATTTATAAATATCAGTTTTATCAAAATCCGCAATTTTTGTTAAATGTGTCAAAGTTACAAAAAATATATATAACATGAAAAACAAACAAAATTATATACATATAAGTATATATATAAATAATTTTTTTTAAGTTTTAAGTATTAAATGAGGTTATAAGATTTATAATCATTTAATAATTAAAAAATACACTTTTTTATAAATTTTATAACTGATTTTGTATTCTTTTTGATCTCACAATTTTTTGTATTTAAATAAAATAAAATTTATAGTTTTTGCGACAAAACAAAACAAATCTTTAAACTTAATATGAAAAATTTGCAACAAATCTCAATTAATTTTTGACCGCACCATAGTTTCTAATGCTAATTCGTATGATAATCAACTAAAAAACATCCGTAATGCTAGAAACTTATCGAATTTACCACAAAAATATTCAATTACAATAATTTAGAATTCGTTTAATAAAAATCTCCATTTTTATGGTAATTTTGTGTAAATTTTATTCGTAGGCGTTCCCGCAATTGCTATAATAATAATAATAATTTTAAAGATTTGGGTTTTTAAGAATTGCTTTCTAATTTTAAAGGTTATTTTGTAATCGTCTACAATAGTTAGTTATAGTATCAATTAATGGTGTGCACAAAGCCCAGTTAAAATTTGGTGATCGACAAATGGATTGTCAAAGTCAAAGACCAACAAATATCAACCATCCTTCGTGCATAGAGCAATGAGTAGCATAATAAATATTTAAACGATCGTAAACCGTAATGTTACAATTGCATTTCTAAATAATGACAATGGAAAATTAAACTTGTTTGGTACGCTTCAACAAAATATTATTCGGTCAAACTACATCTATTAATAGAGCTTAATTTAAAATAACACGGTACGTTAAAGAGTGCCCACTTACTATTTAAGTGTGCACACAAGCTTAAGAAAACAATATTAAAGCTTACTATTTATCTTTGTATATTACATGATTATACAGGGTGAATAAAAAATGGGGCCTCGCTGGTTGACAACTTGGTTTTACATTTAAAACATTTGTTCACTTAAAGTATTGCTAAAAACGTATTTGGTTCAACTGCTTATGACATCCTGTTGTATTTATAGAAAACAAAGTAATAATTTAATTAATTTATTTGGTAAAAGTCGGTGAGATAACATTTATAGTATAATTTTTTTTTAATTATAAAATTTTAACTCATTATATGAAAAATAATTATGAATAAAATTATTTTGTGCAGGTAAAAGCCAACAAAATACAACAAAAATTTCTCATACGAAGTGAAGTAATTAATTTTATAATTAAACGAATGTTATTCTCCCAAAACTTACTGAAATGTATTTCCTGACTCTTTTAATAATTATTTTCTCATAAAGTCATTTCAATTGAAACAAAAAAAAACGCAATTAACTCTCGTAAAATTTTTAATTGTGTATAAATGTTTTCAAGAACAATACTAATTGCATTAAGACCTTACATTTATATTTATTTTAATTAACAATTGGAACATTTTATTGTTGTAATTGTTTAATAATTGTGTCGTTAATAGGGATTATCAGCCTTTCTAGAACAATAATCATTACACACCATATTTTAATCGCTATTAGAATAATTTTTATTTCCTGTCGCTACCTAGTGAAAAAACATTTATTTTTTTCTTGAAAGATAAATAAAAATACAAGAGGCAAAAAAATAATTGCTTAATTTAAAATTTATCAGATTCAATTAAAAAAGCAGTGGTGTGCTTTACTTTTGTAAAATGTTGTTAGTAGGCTTCATGGACGCCCCTGAACTTATTAAGCCCCTGCAAAGTTTTATTAAAATTGATCTTGAAAGTAATTTCTGAGATACTTTTATTAACTGTACCTATACATTAAGGTGTCCCATGATGGGTTTTTTACTTGGGTATAATCTAAATTAATTTTTTTTATTTTAAAAACAATTTTGATTTGTTTTTTTCTTAATGACAAATAAATAAATCATAACTCGCTAATAAATATACATGCAAAAATATACAAGACATATTTTTGTAGAAAATTTTACGCTTTACAAAAAAGGTATTTTACGTTTTTTTCGTAATACCATCAATTCAAATGACATAGGAGGTCAAAGTTTGAAATAAATTTAAAAAAATGTTTTTTCTAAATTTTATGAGTTGGCTAGTTTACAGTCTAAAAACAAGATACTTTTTTTGACAAATTATTAATAGACATGCAACAATTATTGCAACCATTGTTTTTAGAGGTTCTAAAAACAATGATTATAGACGACATATTTATGGAAGAAATTTTACATTTTTTCGTAAATGGATTATTTAAATGTTTATTTAAATGATTTAAGAGGTCAAACTTTTAAATAAATGAAACGCATAAAAATTAAAAGTATTGTCATTTAAGCAAAGTTAAACGACATACATACAAAAAAAAATCCAAAATTGTTTGTTGACTGTAAACAAATAATTTAGTAGTGAAAAAGGACACTTTCAGAAAAAAAATAACAATACTTTTAATTTAATATATGCGATAGTTGGCCATTTTTTATTATTCGCATCTCTAAAAGTGAAACAGTGAAATGTTCACTATTTCCGTCAGTGAGTTATTATTCACTGTAAAATTAGTGTTTTTCAATAAAAATTAGTGAAATTTAACTTCTCCAAATTAGTGTTTTTTATTATCACTACTTTTCCGGAACTCTCGACATAAAATAGTGAAATTTTAACTTTTTTGAACTAAACCTAATTTGTAATTTCCACTAAATAAATTAGTGCAAAGAAATCGCTACATAAAAAAGTGAGTATTCACTAATTGCTATACTTATCACTGCGGCAAATAGTTAATATGCACTGTCAATCAGTGAAAATCCACTGTTTCATTTTTAGAGAGTGGATTTATTTGGTGTTTTGAGTCGTCTTTTTTTCGAAAACAACTGAAATGATGAAGAAGTGCATAGTTTGTGGTGAAAAATATCATTAGTCATGAGCGTGCCATGCAATTTTGGCGGCATGTTTTTATTTTACTTTTTATTAGTCATTTTCTCTAAAAATAAATAAGTCAAAAATGACTAGATTTTAAAGTGAAAAAACAGTCACTAATAACTGTAGTCCACAGCAATTTGTATAATGGACAATTTATATGTAAAATTTTGAAAGTAGAATAGTTTTTGTGATATATAATATGAAATTGACAATGTCTTAAAAACTGTTCTACTTTTATAACTTTTGACGATATTTTTATAATCAGTGGACAATTTTACATAAGAATTGACTGCTAAATGTCCCAGATACAAATTGCTATTGACGAGAATTATTAGTGGCTGATTTTTGCTATGGCAATTAGTCATTTTTGACTAATTCATTTTTAGGGAGTAAGTTAACTATTTTCTTAGATTTTCCTTGAAACTGCCACGCCACTGTCGAAAAGTACAAACATCTTGCAGCCCATAACGAGGTTTATGTAAAATACTTTTTTTGTAGACGTAACATTTCCTACAAAAATAAGTCTTGAACATTTTTCCATTGGCATTTTCACAAATTTTGATTTCCTTATTTTACAAAATATTGTAAATTAATAAACTTTTTGTATTTTGTATTTTAAGTAAAAAAGTTTTGCAAAATTTATGTTGTTATATTTAGCTTATAAAATAAGGATTTTTTAATTAGATATATATGTGTTTATGATTTATTGGTAAACAAATTATTTACACACTTTTCCAATAAATATTTAT